ACACAGGCATGAACTGATAATATGACTGGAACGTGATATTACAATAAATATTTAATCCTTGCGCATGGTAATTTGCTTCTAAAAAATTGCTAAATTTGGGTTTGGCGGACTGTTCTGACTTCAGATGCTCTGACTATTTAAATATTTTATTCCCCATGTCATAAATGACAAAGCACGTGAGCACTGAGCACTCCATGACCCTAAAAGCTTTGGAGTTTGGCCTCACGGCCCGTGGCCATGGGGCCGTGGTGCCTGGTGCCATGGTGGCCATTTGGTCTTTGGTCTCGGAGTTTGTCAGGTTCAAGTTTGGGACTTTGTCACTTGTGTAGCAATTTGGGGCTTGGGCTAAATACGTATACTTTGCCCTTTGGTCTTTTAGGCTTCTTTTAGGCCGGTCTCAAGTCCTCAACTCTCAACTCTCAACTCTCAACTCTGAAACGCTAATTTTTTTTTGCAATGCGCTCTGAGAGCAAGGCATTTGTGGATGGTTTTAGACTGTATAAACCTAGTTTGATTCTTAAGGTTTCAGGCCGATTTTGACTCAGGTTTATCTGTGTAAAATAGCTGAGTGTATGCGTACAACACACAAAAAGGATTGTACAGAGGCACTTACTGCATTGGTGGATAGAATGAGTACAAAGTGTGCATATAAGGAGACAAGGAAAGGAGATTTTAAAAGACTGAATGCAGCTAACACAAGAAGATTGAAGGAATATGACAAGTAACTAATAAGGTTTTTATGAGGGTTTTATGTGTGTGCAATAGCTCTTTGGATTGGATGTTGATTGAACCATTTTCTGTAAGTAGACATGTGTACAGGGACTTATCAAACTTGATGAAAATATTTGAGCAAGACCAGACTTTAAGCATTGGAAACTACTGATGACTGAAGGCTGTGTACTGAACGTGGGCAGTAGATTGAAGGTCAGCAAGGAAGTAGAAGTAAGGATGGAAAAGAATGATCTTAAATAGTTAGGTACAAGTAGTTTTGTTTCTAGTTCAGTTGTAGAGTTCACAACTTGTATATCAAACTGTGCAATAAACCAGGATTTTCCACCACCAGGTAAGGTGGTTTCCTTTTTGAAGTTGTTAAAGCATGTTCAGTATCTTGGATTACGCAGTTCTTGTTCATGTCCAACTCGTTAAATGTATTCCAGAATTAAAAGGAATAAACGTTAATACGTTTGTACGTTTATAATATACGTTAACTGTGCAACTACTATTAGGAACCCGCTATTTTTACACACCCAAGGTGGTAAACACACGAACCATGAAACAACACCGCACACTATCCACCAGGGGCTTCCGGAAAGAAGCCAAATTCCATATTCCAACCTACGAAACACAAACCACGGGAGGCGGCTACCGCAGCAACCCCTTGTGGATACTGCCAAATAACCCATGCCGTTGGCAAAGCTCACAAACCAAGTGAATATCATGTACCAGCTCTCTGAGGCCCGCCCATTCAAATATATCTAATACCACATATTCCAACCTTCGTACACCACAAAGCAAATATAGGTCATGGGTATAGCGTAAAGCCTTGACCACCTGCTCCGGAGTCAATAAGACTCCCCACAACATACAACGTGGACACGCATGTAACACATCACATGGCTGGATATTCAGCCGATCCATCGCCGGCGGGAAAGCGCCTACTGGTTCAGCCGCATCTAAGGCCTCCAACATACAAATCACACCCTCTTGAAAGTACACCACACCACCCACAACAACATCTCCCCACACACTCTCAGCACACGCCCCAATATGCCATCCTTACGCTATGAGTTCCGCCTTTGCTATAGAGGCCTCTAACACCTACATGGGTACTTCTAACTTAGGCTAGTCTACTGGATAAACAAATAGCTGCTCAGCCCCTGGCATCAACCAACTCCGTACCTGAGTATGCTGTCCCACGCACGTAGTCTCCTGTGAAAGGCATCCTACTGGAACTGGAAGAACTCTTCCTGAACTAGAGGCACCGGATACACAAAGGCATCCCACACTCCAGCAGGTAACTGAAACTTCCGCCGCGCGGCCCCAACCGTACAATCATGGAATAGAACAGAGGCGGTGGTTGTTCTTCCCGACCATAACGTAAATATGTCGAGGCCTCGGGTGACATCTGCAAGTAGTGAAACAAGTAGAGCGAACCACTTCGCGAACCGTTCATCCGCAATTTTTACCAAGACTTACTCCAACAGAGAAATTTTAGGGTTAATATATACCAATTAATTGAAGAATCACCCCTATATCGGACAAACCCCTCACCTGTCAACGACGGGGACAAGTACGCACTAAGCTGTTAGTTGGCCGGGAGCGCAAAGGCATCAATGTCATGCGGCCCCCAGCGCCTCTTCCATATCCTAAACCACTTGATCGCCAGTTTATGCTCCTCCGTAACAACCACCTGCACGAGCTGCCGTTAGAACAAAACATGCGGTGGAGGTCACCCCCTTTGTACACGCATGATTGGACCAATGTCCTGGCATAACCTAGATATGACGTCCGTCACCGAGTTATCATTGCCCGGAATATACGCTATAGCAATATTGAAATCACGAGTACCCCCATGACACCTCTGCTGTCTCCTATCCCTAACAGTGTTAGGGAACTCGTGCAGCTGCCTGGCACACATCACCACTAGAGGCTCATGATCCGTATATAGCGTGGTCTCTAAATCTGCAATACGCAAGACCTGTAAATGCCGGGCCTCCACATTAGAAACTTATAATACAAACGTACTCTTAAAAGTACGTAAATTCAGTATTCCTTAAATGATTTTTAACGGTTTTATTACTTAATACCTTTTCCATTTTACATATCAGATATTTGGACAAGGCCATTAAAAGGCCCCAGTAAAATTTCAAATATAAGATTTGGTCTAGTTCTATTAATAGAACTATATTAACCTTCCAAATCTATTTATATCTGAATACTTCGGTAGCGAGATGGCTCAACCGAACATAGGATTAGCGTTGCTTAGTCTATCCTCCGTTCAGCCAACCAGATGTACCAGTCTGATGATGGTTAAGTCGGTAATTCTTGATAAGTGGCAAGTTATTGGTTAATGCAATAACTATGGACATCATGAGTATTTTTCTTTTTCTTTTTTTATTCTTTTTTTTTCTAAAGATAGGATTTTATGAGTCTCTCGGATTCGCCCCCAACGAAACATACCATAGTTTCTATTAGAGCAACAACGAAACACTAAATAAAATCCCTTCGGCGAAAACAGTACTGAGAGTATTATATATAGGCAATGTCTCAGCCTCACAATCCCTCAGAGTGCTGTTTTCACGAGGCATACCTAACTTTACTAAAAGACTCATTTCGTTTATTTACATTGAATTTATTTTTACTTAAACTTATACTACGCGTTTAATTACTCTAAGGCGTTAATATCGCCTTGATAGACCGAAACTTACAGACCCGCATATGCTCTTCATCTTGTATATGGTAGCCGAACGGCGCCGCATCAAATTTAGACCCACAAAACCCCACTGGCACAGACTTGCCTTGTCGCACTAGAACACACACGCCTCCTACACCCACATACTAACAAGCATCGGAGAACAGCATCAATTGTTCCTCCATGTCAGGTTCTGCTAGTGTCGCACAATACCGCAGTAAACTCCTCAAACGCCTGCTGATGGCATTCCTCCCACACAAACTTGACATCCTTTTTAAGAAGATCCGCGATACATGACATGACCCTAGTAAAATTCGGCAAATAATCTAATCCCCAAGCGACGGTATGATAATAAGACCTCGCTAAGTCCTGCGTTGTGGGTGAACTAAGGTTGGCTAGTGCCCCAATTTTCTCATCGGTGATCGTACTCCCTTGGAAATCCACCTATCGCCCCACTAATACCACAGGTCTCCTGAAGTATGCCCAGCAACACTTCGACAGCCTTAGCTGCACCCGCTTGGCTTTGCACGTCCGAACAAACAAAACGTAGTGTCCCAATGCTCTAATGGGACAGTATGTCCATAGCTACCCTCATCAATAGACCACATCATCACTAGCACTAGCAGAAATATTGCCTCTAACACTTGTTGCATTCTCCATTTCGCCTCATGCAGACCGAATGACATACTCACAAAGCGATACGCGCCCCAAGGAGTAGTGAATGTTAAATATGAACAAAGTCGCTAATTGCACATTCAAAATGTGGAATTGTCGCTATTAATGTACATTCACCCATTTTGTCGATGAAAACATACTGAAATATTGATCAAATATGTACAAATGTACATTTAGCGACAATTCCAAAAAAAAAAATTTATGTACACTTGGTGACTATTTCGTGCAAAATTTGTTTATATTTAAATTAAAGAGCCTTCGGCTATATCGATTTTTGACGAATAAATTTGTTCAGGAAGGTTATGTTGTCTTTTATTATTTGTTGTTTGTATATGCTACTTCATTCAAGCTTATCTCACTGCCTAATGCGCAACTCACATGGTCGATGGTGCTCTTTTACGGGACCATATGAAAATTGTATTTCCATCTTGTTATATAAATCAGTTCTAGCAAGAGTTGGCATACTATCTAATATAATGTCTGTAGCGTTACTTTATACAATGTAACTATCGCCAGGTTCCAATGTCCGTTCGTTTGATTCCACGGGATCAAAACTTAGGACACATCTGCTGCTCCCCTTGTAGACATAGGCAGCCTGCACAGCATGTATCTCGTTTGATTTGTGTACAACTCATCCATGTATTTGAAATAACGTATAGAGCATGAAAAGTTTAGTAA